CGCGCTACCACGGACCAAATTTTCGCGATTCGGCAGGTTCTGCAGAAATGCCCCAAAAAAAACGTGCCCACACCTCATTTGTTCATCGATTTCAAATCCGCATACGACACAATCGATCAAGATCAGCTTTAGCAGATTATGCACGAGTACGGATTTCCGGATAAACTGACGCGATTGGTCAAGGTGACGATGAATCGAGTGATGTGCGTTGTTCGAGTATCGGGAACACTTTCGAGTTCCTTTGAATCTCGAAGGGGGTTACGGCAAGGTGATGGAATTTCGTGTCTGCTATTCAACATCGCGTTAGAAGGTGTGATCAGAACAGCTGGGATAGACACGAGTGGCACGATCTTCAGGAAGTCCATGGCACGGAACTTTGAGGTGATGGCGGAAATGTACATCAGGCTGAAGGCTGAAGCTAGGCGGATTGGACTTGCCATCAACGCACCGAAGACAAAATACATGAAAGGAAGACGTTCTAGGGAAGACAATGTTAGCCTCCCACCTCGAGTTCAGATTGACGGTGACGAAATCGAGGTGGTCGATGAGTTCGTGTATTTGGGCTCACTGGTGACCGCCGAAAATGATACCAGCAGAGAAATTCAAAGACGCATTATGGCAGGGAATCGTGCCTACTTCGGACTTCGGAGGACGCTCCGGTCGAATAAAATTCGCCGCCGCACGAAGTTGACTGCCTACAAGACGCTGATTAGACCGGTGGTCCTCTACGGCCACGAGACCTGGACTATGCTCGTGGAGGACCAACGCGCCCTTGGTGTTTTCGAACGGAGGGTGTTGCGTACCATCTACGGTGGAGTGCAGATGGATGACGGAACGTGGAGGAGGCGAATGAACCACGAATTGCACCAACTGCTGGGAGAACCAACCATTGTCCACATTGCAAAAATTGGGTGACTACGGTGGGCTGGGCACGTCGTAAGAATGCCGCACGACCACCCAGTGAAAATGGTTCTAGAAAGCGACCCAACAGGAACAAGAAGAAGAGGCACGCAGCGGTCAATGTGGATCGACCAAGTAGAAGGCGACCTGCGGACCCTTCGCAGACTACGAGGCTGGCGAAGTGTGGCCATGGATCGAGTAGAGTGGAGACGACTTCTTCGGACAGCAGAGGACAACAAGGCCTTAGCCTGATTGGTAAGGTAAGTAAGGCTGTCTCAAATCCGAGACAGCTGCACAGCTAGTTCGTGTAGCCGTGGCCGAAAACCTCGGTCCGGTCACGATACCGCTGTCAGCTGTTCTTTGTCAGGGATGAAATGTGCCGTCACCGGTGTAACGGAGTGTTGCTATGCAAGCGATTGCCCTGATTTCTTCATGCTAAGTGGTCGGAATGATTGGACGCAGTGCGGCGCGTTCTTTGGACAGGCATCTGGATGTGCGCTGACAATTCGATTGAGGAGAATCCATAGCGAGACTTGGTGGAGATTCACGGTTGTGTTTTGAAACAAATTGATTATATTGTGGCAACATCAATTTCTTCCTTCGCTGATTGCTTTCCACACTCAGGGTTTCCTTGTAGATTTTGAGGACTCGACAAACTGTTGTTTTCGGAATCTTCCGGTCCACTCCGGATTTTCAGGTGTTTGTGCACAATATTTTTTCCTCTTTCGAGTTCCATTTGACGTAATTTCTGAACGCGATCGACTGCTTTGATCAAACTTGCACCAGTTGTTCTCTATAGAAGTGTAAACAAACCACTGTCAACGATTAAGATGACTGGTGATTGTTGTTAGCCATGGCTCTATCTTTCACTGCGTGACAAAACGTTCTGTCAGCGATAGTCGGTTGATGCGTTGACGAGTGTTGAGGGAGTGTGATGATATTTTGTATCGCTGGTTTTGAAAATAAGGATGTCACAGCAATTCACCTTAAAAGTCTCAGAAATTTGAAATGTATCTAAAGTTACATGTGAATGATTGGAAGGACACTAGCCCGAATCGATGGAATGATCTAGGAAATTCTTTTAGAAATCAATGAGATCTAGGAACATTTGAATACTCGGACTGAAATTTTGTTCAAATATTGCATGACAATATTATTAAGATTATGGAGACTAGGCCAGTTTTCACATTCTTGAACTTTGTGCGATTTTTAACTTTTTTTTAAGATATATGATCAAACAAATCATGGCTCTTGAACTTGAATATCATTATAATCGGGGGAAATTTGAATTATTAAATGTTATCACGATTTTCAATACAAATTTTAGAAGGCAGCTCTGAGCCATAACCTCCCCTTATAAAATGCGGACTGCACTACACCTGTTTGTGCATCGACAGATTGGTACCACCCCCTCTCGACGATAACGATAGCTTTGGCAATCGTATTCGAAATTCGAGCTTATTCCTGGTCACTTTAAAATGCAGTAGATAGCTATTTGTTTGCCTAAATACTCGTGCCACCCATTCCCACTGAATCCGTATTAGCCTGAAAGCCCAAACCCAAACTAATCCACCCATTTCATTTCCATCATCAGACCCCGAGAGTGAAGCTTGATTGTAACCGTAAGCCAGTCAAATCTGATGGCTGTAGGCAGAAGGTATGTTGTACAGCTATTTGCATCGATGGTGTAATCCAGGAAGTCAACCCATTGGTGATTGCATTCTGCCGGGTTGAGTTTCACCGAATTTCGCAACGAAGCCCCATCTCGAGCTATGGCAAATTGTAAAATCTAATTTTCCTCTGTCCACCATCGGGCCCCAGTGCTACTTCAATTGCCCTTATCAGCTACGGAATGAAGCCTCCGAAAAATTACTCGATCTCATGTTTTAGTTCTGTGGAATTAGAGCAGAGTGAAGGCAGACTCGGATGCAAACCGCAGGCTGGATGCTGCCGGGAGGGAACATTACGGGCATGACGAAACATTCGAATGCTTTTTGTTTTCCAACTTTTAAGGTTTGGTATTTCCATAGTTTCGCGATGTCGAAAGCCCGTTTCGACATCGACCAACAACAACGGTAGTGGAATTTTCAGCTCACCCCTCTAGAATCGAAGTTCATTATTCATTTTATTTATTTTCCAACCGAATCCAGTAGTGGCATGGATTCGATTTCATGAGTACCGATTTCCACAGGTGTACCACCGAAACAGCGCTCAAGCACGACGTTCGACGTCGTCGTCGTCGTCGTCGTTTGACAGCTGATTTCGAGTGGGGATTTATCGTTCGGTTGTCAGTTTTAATTTATTTTAACAGCTTTTATGTGCTCTGCACACCGAAACAGAGAGTGGAATGGAAGTTTCGCGAAACATGAGATTTTTCGCAATGGTTTTTCTATACGATGATTTTCAAATTCGAATTGCGTTGTTAAAAAAAAAACACCTGTAATCGTTTAAGATTAACTAGAAACGACGAAGCAATTGATTTTCGATCGTGTCACGGTTGGCTTGTGGGCTGTTTTTTTTTGCCGAGGTGCGTGCGAGCGTGTGTAAAATCGACAATGATCCTGTTTCGGATTCGCAGAAATTGAAGAACAACATTCTGAAGCGTACTCCAAATGGAAGCTGACAGTTTCGTTACCAAATAATGCAAATTAATATTAGGTTCTAAACGTTTATTGGATCTTCGTTTTGGGAAAAGTATGAAATTTTTTATAGCACGACTAAGTTTGGTGGATAAACCAGTTAGACGCTGGATGATGAAGCATTAGAGCAGGCCTGCCCAACCTTTCTAAACATACTTTTGGCATAGGATTACGTCTGTGATTTCTGTATGGGGGAATACTTTGTGAAAACCAAAAATGGAACATGTAACGAAATTATGAAAGATTTTGAACGTTAATAATTCAACTGCTCCTGGACCAATTTCAATAATTTTATCACCAATCGATCAGACATATTGCTACGCATCTATATCAATGCATTTGACTGTTGATTTTCAAAAAGAAACTATTGAAAAAATGTTTAATGTTAAGCATTGTTCAAAAGCGTCGAAATAACTTATAAATCCACTAATTACGTACATGCAGAAGCTGCTTCCCCAACACAGTCATCAGAGAATCGTTTCCAGACGAAACATGTCGATGTAGCACACTGTCAGCAGAGAGTCAGTAGCAGAAGAAACATGTAGAAGTGGCTTTCGCCTACGATCTTCAGGCGTGTGCGAATAGGGAGAATGCAATTGCGTTACATTTTGCACTTTCATCACCTTATTCAGAACCACACGCCCCCAACGACCACACAAAATGCTCTCAAGAGCTGTAGCTTATAACCAAACTTAGAAGCAGGGATGCAAGTGATTTTGATCGATTCTCTTCATCGACTTTCTGTTTCGTTACGCCACCGCCTCTTCTATATGATGACATCACCACGCCATACTATTCAACCCAATTTGCCAGAGAACCATCTGGCTCAAAATTATGAAACCATCCGCTTGACGTCACTATTTTCTGCTCTTCATCCCCTCAAAATTGCGTCCGCAGAAAAAAAATCTGCGTGTCACAACAAAGAAAAAATGAGAAACTCACAAATTTCTCCTTTCCTGCCCTGATAGCACAGCAAAGATAGCGCGCAACGGAACAAGTGAAGACATCACATTTTTCTTCCTTTCACTAAAAAAAAAGGCACCAACTACTGCTATATGCCATCACATCGCGAAGCATCGTCGAAAAGTTTCATATCAAAATTGCCTTCTCGTGAACACACGCACACGCAACCATTTCACACAATGTAGGTTATTGCCGGAGCGAGATAAGGGAAATTCCAAATGGGTTGGCGGGGGGAAGAAGCAGCATCTGAAAAGTTTCTCGCCCGATAGCAATCTTCGCGATACGATGCCACTGAGGGGTTGGGGTAGAGTGCTTGTAACAGCGGGATTTGTAAATTTGAATCGAATCCTCACACCCATGTGAACAATTGTCAAACGAGCATCAATTTCAAAGTGTGACGCAATGGTACAATGTTCAAAAAATGTTTCACTATTTCTCCGTCTCGTGCCCGAGAGCCAACTCAATCACTAACAATTTCCGTTTTTTTTTCCATTGCAGGAAAACTCGATTTCCACGAATTCATACCAGGTAAGTGTGTTTGCCGTACACTCTACACCGCCTTGATAGTAGTGCTGCGTCGTCGGTCGGTTGATCGGTCGCCGGAAACAACTCAACAGCCAAGTGTCACACTTCGTATCGCATCGCGTCGCCTCTTGCAGGGGTAGCCTACATATTACTTATTTATCACGCACCTAGGGATGGAACGAAGGTGTGAATGAACGGAGGCTTCTGGGGAGAGGCAAAAGTGGTTTTCGGGATGGGAGGGTTTTCGGCATTGATTGAGATGTGTGTGACATGGAGGGGGCGGGAAAACTTCCGAAAGGAGAGTATAAATTGAGTGTGTAACGTAACACAGCACTTGGAAGATGATGACGAAGGAAGAATCATGACTTGTCACCTGAGTAGAGAAGTGGATGGTTTTCGGTTTCCTCTCCACAGGAAGTGGAGAATGGTTTCGCTTCGAGAGCGGTTTTCGGTTGTAACCGAAAAATGCGGTTCTATACGTTAGGTGGAGCGTTCTTGGAATAGGTTCGGTCTAATATATGGTTATGAATAATACATGGTTACTAGTGGGTGCATATGTTATTCGGAAATAAGCCAAGTGATTTTGTGGATTTCAATTGGAGGTGTTCTGATCTGCGGTGCCATGCGGGTTCATTTCCCACAAATATCTGCAGGATTTGTGCATAACTAAAATGTTGAGACAGAAAATTTGATTACCTGGGGATACCGATAACGTAATAGTCAAGCATAGGTGCGAAGTTAAGGGGAGGGGGGGATGGGTATTAAAAAATGAAGACTGGATGGAGAGAAAAAAATAATTTCGATCGTTTATACAATGCAGCAGAATTTGATCGTTATGTTTGGGAAAGTGGGGGACCAAACATCAGACCAGGTTCAACTGTTTCTATACAGACGGTTCAAGATTGAACAATCGTGTGAGAGCAGGGGTAACTGGGGTGTTCCAAGCATAAATTCATGCAATTCTTGAATGCTCTGTAATATGCTTGCGCAGAAATTATAAACATTCGAGCATCTACATTATGTCTGATAGTCAAGCAGCATTAAATGCTTTAATATCAGCAACATGCAATTCAAAACTCGTATGGGAATGTGCAATGTCACTTCAGAAATTGGCCTGTCAAAACCAAGTAAACCTATATTGGGTTCCACTGTGGAATTGAAGGAAATGAAAAAGCCGACACGTTAGCCAGGCTAGGATCATCTCAGCAATTCATAGGACCAGAACCATTCTGTGGAGTTTCTGCTTGCTCTCTTAGAATGGAGTTCTTGAAATGGGAAAAAAGGAAAGTGAAGACCAAGTGGAACAACACTTCCATTGCTAGGCAGTCGAATAATTCCGGTTCATAATTCCGAACATTTCAATGACTAGCAAAATTCTTGAATTATCAAAGAAAGATCTCAGTGTCTATACTGGTTTTATAACAGGAGATTGTCCATGTAAACATCATTTGAAGTTAATAGGAAAACTGCAAGAGGATATGTGTCGATTCTGTGGCATATAAAAGGAAGACTCTGAACACCTACTATGCTCTTGTGCAGCAATCTTCAATAAAAGGCGTATTTTTCTGGATAAGGGGCTGTCAGAGCCCTTTGATATTTGGAATGCAGGTCCTAGTCAAGTATTACATTTCATTCGAAATGCTTTTGGTCAGTCTATGTCGGTCGCTTCACAAAATAGTGATACGACATAACAGATATAGCAATATAAAAACGGGGAATATCACAATAGATCAAAGTAATAGTCGCAGTAATTTCCACTGAACTAGTAAAAAAGTGAATCAAAACAAAACAACTTCGAACCAAGCTGCACGGCCTCGGTTCGAACCAAACTCGGTCAACCCGGCTGTCATGCCGCCACCGAAACAAATTCTCCACCGACAACAGAAGTTGTTACCACCGATGCGCTGCGAACTTTGGCTTCGATTCCCCCATCGGACAGCGGGTCGTTGACTCCTTCTACAGGTCAACAGCCCCCTGCTAGCGGCGGAGTGGATCGCAAAACTGCTAGTGGCAAGTCCGATGGAAACGAAACAGATTGGTCTGTCGGCTCATCCAGCTCAAGAAGGCATCTCCGTAATCGCCCACCAGGCAAGAAGCCTCGGGTAGAGGACGACTGTGACGACAAGCGAAATGGGAGTAACAAACTGTCGTAATGACTGTAGTTCTCCAGTTACAACCTCGCCTCCATCAACATCAACAATATCACGAACGGAACGAAAATAGACTCTCTTCGGACCTTTGTACGAACGCTGGAGCTGGATATCGTTTTCCTCCAGGAAGTGGAGAATGATCAGCTCTCTCTCCCTGGCTTCAACATTGTCTGCAATGTGGACCAGGCAAGGCGAGGAATGGCAATCGCGCTGAAAGACCACATACAATTCTCGCATGTGGAGAAGAGCCTGAATGGCCGCCTCATCGCTTTGAGGGTGCAAAACACGACTCTCTGTAATATCTATGCGCCATCGGAGACAGCTCCTCGTGCGGAAAGAGAGAGATTCTTCAACGCCATGATCGCATATTACCTTCGGCACAACACGCAACACGTCGTCCTCGCTGGCGATTTTAATTGCGTGCTTCACCCGAGCGACTCCACGAGTGCAAACACAAGTCCAGGTGTCCAGGCGACCATACGGCAGCTGCAGCTTCACGACCTTTGACTGAAGCTATATCCCACCAACCCCGCACCCACATACGTTACGCACAATGCGGCATCCAGGCTCCATCGCATGTATGTAAGCTATGGGCTTTGCGAGCATCTGCGAAGTGCTGCCACACACGTATCCCAAGTAACAATTCAGTAACCATTTGGCATCCACTCCGATTTATGATAGTTTTATGACGGCAATGAACAAACCATTTAGTATAAATACGGCATTTCAAAGTGTAAGACATTCCTGCTGAATTACTAAGCTTTTTGCTGTTTTAAAAACCTTTTATAGTCTGGCAAGAAAGTCAAAACTTGTCTTGTTTTAAAAATAAATTTAAAACAGTTCTCAATCCCTCCTTAAAACTGCTCTGTAATTCAAGCATAAACGTCATCCCAAGTAACAATTTAACAGCCTTTTGACTTTCACTCTGATTTATTGTGGCAATAGGCAATCTTTTTAGTTTAAATACAGCATTTAACAGTGCAAAACATTCTTCATTTGTAGTTCAGTGTTATGCTGTTTTAAAACCCTTTTAAAATTTGACGAGAAAATCGGAAAGTGTTTGATTTAAAAATGAATTTAATGCAGCGCTCTATCCTTTTATAAAACTGTTCAGTAAATCAATTGGTATTTGTTTTATTGATGTTACTACAAAATTCTCCATAAAGGTGTTTTATCATTATAAAAGCAAATATGAAACCGTTCGGTTTCAAACGGGATCAAAAAGCATATATTGATGAGTCTTAGTGTCAACAAAACCTCCCACTGTTTACAAATAAAACTAAAAAGATGGATCCACCTAGAGACAGAGAAAAACATAATCGAGTGCAGCATGCAAATGTAGAGTCACTAGGAAATACGAAAGGATAATAGAGTAATAATTCTAGCAATGCTGTCGACGGAAGAGAAAAGGAATCCAATTCCAGAACTTTCTGGGAGGGCAGCTCCGACAACATCGGTCAACAACAACAGAGCAGCCGACTGAGAAGAGCGAAGTGAATGCGGTTTACGAAACACTGGAAGCCGTCAAATTAGACGCTTAGAATTGATGGAAATACACAGCATATTGTCAATGGCAGCCTTCTCCAGAAATAACGTTGCGATCATGATCCGAATAGCATCAGTTCCAAACTGGGACTGCGGAAAACTGCTGACAGGAAACTCATCCGGAAGAAGGAAAACTTTCCGGGAACGATTGAGCTTCCACCTGTTCCAAGTTACGTAGACTCACTTCCTGAGTAACTGCTATCAATAGATGAATTGCCCTTATCATGGATGTCACGCAATTTGGAGTAGAACATCGTTGCAATGATCGCACAACAAAACTATCGAAAGATAAACAAATTTTGACGTTTAACTTTTTCCAGGCAACTTTGTCACAATTAATACCGTCATAAAACTAAACGGAATAAGAACAAGCAAAATGGTTTCAGATAAAAACAATTCAGTCTGAAAATTATCTTCATAAAAGCCGTATTAAAATGTTTTGCATTTGTTAGCGATTTCATGAAATCAAAACAGCTTTTTGACAAATGGCTTTTGGAAAATTAATGTTTATGCTATCGCCATATTGTTATTATTCCATTTGCATTTTTGCAATCTTCGATTTTTAAAGTTGTTCCTTTAAAATAACTTTATTCTCATCAATTCATCAATGAGCAGTAATAGAAATTACAAAAATCATCAAACTGTCTCGGCTGGAAGCAATGATTAACATAACAAGTAATCATATTTTGTTTCAGAAATTAAAAATAACTAGTCAAATCAACGTTTTCCGAAGGCGGACTTATTTTTTTCGATCTTTCGAAGCACATTTCACATTAGATTTAATCTGTCACCTAAAAATAGACCACAATATGTGTTTCGATAATTTTAGTAATTCTTTCTAAATGACGAGGAAATTTATGAGGATTTTTTGACCGATTCATTTTTGAACAATGAACATGGCAAGATCGGACGATATTTATGAATCCCTTTTTATCTTGATTGATGCTTTATTTTTAAGGCGCTTAGCAAACGTCAAAGGAAATGGCACAAGTATTGATGCCAAATGGCTTTTATTGTAGTTTTAATAAGGATTTCAAATGGTTCTCAATGCATTCGTAATATAACCTTTTTGCAGCAAGTCATTCTTGAAATGTATCGATAATGCATTCTTTAGAACCTTCTTTAGGGTGGGCCAACTAGACAGATTCTAGTCTTAATGAGGTTTTGGTGGATGTAATAAAGGCAAAACTATCTTGACCAGGGTTTTATGAATGTTGTTTTATAGAAGCCTTGTAGTACTTCATAAAACGTTAAATGTTACTTGGGATGTTAGTTCACAGACCCCAAAGCTCTTAAAGGGTGTCCACG